TGAAGCCCTGCTGCTGCCGCTGCGCACTGAGAGCGCAGCAGAGCCCTTCGGGTGCTTTACCAGGCCCTCGATCGCTTGGCGACACACATATACACATACACACCGTTGTGTAACAATGTGACGTGTGTATGTGTGTGTGTGTGTGTGTGTCTCAAGGCCCGCGAGCTGCTCAGCCGGGCGAGGCATAGCGTAGCAGAGAAAGTGATCTTCATACGTTTGTCTCGTTCCTGCCGCGGAGTTGCCTACCTCCGCCCCCCCCCCCCTCCGCCTCTCCCTCGCTCTGTCGGCCAGGTGCTGACGTCCACGCCGGCCAAGAGACTACTTTGCCCCGGGGGCGCTCTTTGTGGACGCCGTCGAGACGCCCGAGCCGAGCCGGGCAACAGGTAGATGTGTGATACCCGAGGACGCCTCGGGACACACGGCGCGGGCTGCTGCTGGAGCGGGCAGCATCAGAACCCCGCAAGTCCGAGGGTCTTCCCCGGGAGTTACAACCTTATTACGCGGGGCGACGGGACCGGGCGCGCGGGCCTTACATTTTACTGCGACATTCGCGCCGCGTGTGACTGGTCCGTTTTCTCCCCCCACCTGTGCTGTCCGCTCGGGTGGCTCAGCGGGTATGGGCGCCAGATAGCCTGTTAGGGATCCTGCTGTGCCGAGCTGTGTGAGAGCGCGTGCAGTCCTTATTCAGATTGAGTCACAATGATGATGATGTCGTCATCCACGCAGCCAATTTAGCTCAACTAATGCTGCGGATTGAATGCACTCTCCAGCTTGGGCACCACTCAGATGCTACGTGCCCTATAGGAAAGGGGGCGCCGGGGGCGGGGTACAAATATATACCCATTATAGGTTCACACTCATAATTGGAGTTCATTCGAACCCTATGATATTTGCACGCCGTGGGTAAAGATGTCATGGGGGCCGCTCTATGAACTCCTGTGGTGATCCCTGAACCTAAAGGGAGGCTATAATTTTTTGTACCTCTCTTAGGGCACCTGGTATCTAACATCCCTCTGCTGCGTGTTCTTCGGTAAAACACTTACTGGACCTTCGAAAAGCATCGCACGGCGACTTGCGGCGCGGCGCTGTGCGGCCGGGTGAAAGCGAATTTGACTGACTTGTCCATCCCGCCCGTCCCGGCGCTGGCCAGCAGCAGCGCCGTCAGCAGCCCGCCCCGCCGCGCCACCAAATCGCAATCGCAATCTCAATTTGCGGGCTGAACGCGGCGGCGCCCCTCTGCGTGGAGAAGATTATTTTAGAATTATGATATTATTTTTGTAAGGGAGCGCCAGGAGGCGCGGTCTCGCTGTCGGGCTGTCGCTGCCGTGCGGCCTTGGAGGGAACGCTAGACCTTCTTACTACATACGGATATTTAAATCTTGCGGAGAAATAAATGCACCGTCGTTGCAGCCGTTAGTGTAACGAACCCTGTTTCCCGCCTGTTTCTTAACTTAACTGGATTTTCAAGCGTTTTTTTGGACCGTCGTCTGTCGGGTGCAACTTCCCCACCATCACCCTGCTCCTTCCCCCTGCCCCTCAGGATCCCAATACCTCATGGTAATCTAGAGCACATGAGACTGTCCTGTTTGTTGGTCGCTCCTGATGGTCCATTTAAGGGAGAGAGGAGAGTGGTAGAGACAGAGAGAGAGAGAGAGAGAGAGACAGAGGGAGAGAGATAGAGAGTGAGCGAGATAGAGAGAAGGGCGCGGCGTCGTGCGGGGCCAGGCGACGCCCTAAATGCAACCGGTCACTCACTATAAAGGTATAAATCACAGGGTCGTAAGGCGGATAACAAGCCGGGCAGCCGAGTGTCGAGTCCTCCGCGACGAGCCAATCGGGCGGGCCCGATCCCGATCCTCACGGCGTGG